GTAGCATGGTGATCATGGCTGGTTTGATCTCAAAATTATTAGCCGTGATTGCAGGACGTCGGATCGGTGAAGGAGTTGCCACTGGTACGACAAATTCCCTCAATGAAGAATTCATGTGAAATCTCTAATGTGATTTCTCTTGTCTTATATGATTCATTTGAGCAAGATTAGAAAGATCTTTTCTCAATCAAGTCTAATACTCTGGCTAGAGGTTCCTAAATTATATCTTATAGTATTCTCTTGCATGGGTTTTCTTTTGGTAGATCTTGTGAGATTTTGGTTTCCAACTCAGCTTCTCGAGATTTCGACCACGTCAAAACAGCTTGTATTAAAAAAAAAAAAAATTAAAACAAGAAGAGAGGGAAGTACCACTCAATGCCACTGCAATCCAAACTTAATTTGCAAATACCACCTTTACCCACACATTTTGCAAATACAACCTATAAATACATACTTATTGCCCACTTAACACTTTTTCTTGCCTTTTCTTTTCTCTCTCAGCTCTCTCTCTCAATTCTTCCCCTCAGCGCTCTCTCTCTCTCTCTCTCTAGGGCACTCTCTCTGACCTACTCGTTCAAGGTAACACATATCTTTCTCCTCTTCCTCTCTCTTTCTCGCCCCCTAGCCCTTCACTTGCTGTGTTTGGATTTGAGCTGTTGGATTGATCTTGATTTGGGCTTTTACGCCCTGTGGCTGGTCATATCCATGATCATCAGCATCCCATGGACCCCTCTCCAGTGTCAACCACTCAACCTCTTGATGAAGAAGATGAGTGGGGTACGTACGGCCTTTGGCATCTATCCTTGTTTGGTTACTGAGAAAATTTTTTGGAAAGTGAAAAAGAACGAGAAAAGCTTGAATCTTTTTGCCTGATTTATGTGGGTTTTTGTAGTTTTGCTAAATTCACCTTATACTAGTCCAATAATTGTGTTATGCACGTTTGTGGTGCATTCGGGCATTGATTGCTGAATTCTTTTGTTGGGTGATGCGTAGACATTTAAGTTGATTTGGTTATTTTTATTTTTGTTACAAAATGGAAAGCGGAAGCGGCTTTGTTAGTTTTAGTAACTTGGGGATTATTTTCTGTCTTGTGAGTTTTGCTACCATAATTGGAATGATTTTCTTTTTAGTTTCTCTTCATGTTGGTTTGAATGGTCTAATTGTGAATTTGCTACAATGTTATGAATGCGGGGTCGAAACTTGGCTCATTTACTTGATCGTATTTTCTAATTTTCATGCTATATTGTTAAGGAGTACCATTTTGACTCAATTACGGTGGATTTCATATTAGTCAATATTAAAGATTTGGGAATGGGCTTGCAGTTGCATTATAATCTGTTGTTCTTTTTGTGTCACTACTGGTTAGTGTAATTTGAGGAAAGTGTTTGATCCGAATATGTTTTTCTTCTTGTTTTGCATGTGGGTAGTTTAATTAAGTGGTTTGATTCTACTTTTTACTATGGAATCATTAGATTAGCATGTTGGCTAGTTGTAATTGGTTATTGTTTTCACTTATATCTGTTACAAATTGTCTTACTTTTATGCCTTTTGGTTTCTGTTTATACAGATGGCTGGAACTTTTGGTTTTGGCCATGACTGGCTATTGTGGAGCTTTTGGCCATGACTGGCTAGGTGAAGGAGCTTTTGAGGAATTATTTTAACAAGAATTTCAAAAATTGAGGTCTCTTGTGGCTTTTGGAAGATTATTATCTCTGCATATTATGAGATTCGATAGATTGTTCTTTAAAAAAATATCCATTATTGAATAAATTCTCTATAGATGTCATTATGCAAAATCTAACTGAGAGGCTTAGGCCCCTTGTGGGTTTGAAAGGTTGGGAATATTGTGTTATCTGGAAATTAAGTGAAGACCAAAGGTTAAGAGAAACTTTTTAATTAACAGTTACTAATTCATGTTTCTTTTTGTGACTAATTTTTAGATTGGTTAATTTTTATTTTTTTATTTTTGGTTTATTGAGTTGATGGATTGCTGTTTTTCTAGGGCTAATGAGAACTCTCAGACTAATGGAGGAAATGAACTTATTTTTCCAGTTTATCCAGCCTTCCATGCAGGGATACAATGCAGCACTCAAGAACAAATTCATGTGATCTTCTTGCCCAGCTTCGTTCTTCTTTGTCCTTAGACTCTGGGTACCTATATATCCTTTCATTTTACCATTTTTGTTTACTCATTCAATCATAATTACCAATTACCATACATATCTTAACAAAAGAAATTAATTAGTGTTTTTATATCATTAACCATGAGCAGAATTTATGCACATCCATTAATATCAAACCAGCCCATTTGGTTGAACTCATCTTCTAACATAGATTCAAGTGCCATGGTAGTGAGCTCAAGTTCCCAATTTTCCCAATTTTCCTAGCTAGTTCCCAAAGAAAGTCCTTTTCTGCACATATAATTAAATGTAACTGTATACTTTTACTTACATTTTGCTGGAAAGAGATGGGACCAAAGTTTTGGTTCCAAGTGCAGAGGGTTGATATTGAGCTATTTATCTCCAAAGATGTATGATATTTTATGATGCTTCACTCAAACCTTGCTTTAATTTCTTATGTTAGATTTGAAATTTTATTTTGGTCACATCTCTCACAAATAGTTTTTTTTTGGTAATTATCAAATTCACAAGTCTCTAAAGACCAACAAGTGATTGATTATATCACAGCCCAATGCAACATTTCATTGGAGAAAGACACCTTACTTGGTGCTGGCTGCAATACAAGCTTCCGTATCAATATAAATGACATGAGCACTGAAATACAACCACAGCCCTTTCCAAGCAATGAGAATGAAGGAAATGATCATCTAAACAGTAATCATTTCTAGCAGCCACCTGTTGTTTCCCCAGTGGATCATGATTTGAATGTGCCATACGACATATCAGTTGATCGAATCCGTCTCTTCAACACTTCTCCAATGAATGTCCTGCAACATGTCACTTACAACTCAGAGAACAACATGAAGAATGTCCTTGTTTTTGTGAGAATTGATAATGCCCATGTATTTGACAGAGGTCATGTGTTGAGCTAAACACGAATGATCGTAAAAATTTTCATATTTTTTATATGGTTTTGCATGTATAGTTGATGTCTTGTATGATTCTTAATTGTAGATAAAGGTGGGATTCATTGCTTAGTACCAACAGATAACAAGACCCTCAAGGTCGATGATAAGAGCAGTGATTTTTTTAATTTTAATTTTAGTATTTTTCTGATGTGAAAATATAGTAGCTAATAGTACTATAGAATGTTATGTAATAATATTTCTTCAATTCTTATACAAGTTGTTGAACAAGGATTATTGGCAAATATATCAATCATATTGAAGAGGTACATATATGGTGCTTGTTGTACCTTATTTATATGGTAATGAACAATGATCCAGCATTTTCCTTTACAAAATAACCTTATACAAACAAGCGTTTTCCTTTACAAAATAACCTTACAAGTTCATTCACAAGACAAACTTGAAAAAACAGGTGATAAGAAACAAATATAAGTGCAATAACAGGCAATACCACAACACTACAATGGCAATACGATGGCAATACAAACGCAATAGTGTAGCAATACAATGGCAATACAAAAACTCCACATTCCCATTATAATTTCATTCCAACAAAGACTTGGGAAAAAAAAGTGATACTGGGGCACTACGGTGGCAATACCAAGGCAATATAGGGCTATCCATTGGCAAACAAAAACTCCATACTCCCCCTATAATTTTATTCCAACACATACGTGAAAATAGGCGATACAGGGGCACTATGATCCTAATAAATGAGCAACACGATGGCAATACAAGAGCAATACGATGGCAATATATGTTCAATAAATAGGCAATATGAATACAATGAGGATCAATTACAAAATGTTCCCTAACCCTTCTGTTTGTTCATTCAAAATACATGATACCAAGTGAAACAAAGTACCACAAAATAAACCCAACATATGTAATCTGGTGAAACCATCGTCGCATAATCACAAAACATTTCGAACCTGCTGTCGAAAGCTTCAACTATTCATAACATTGTCGTAAATTCACAATCAGACCATTCAAACCAACAGGAAGATAAACTAAAAAGAAAATCATTCCAATTATCGTAGCAAAACTCACAAGACAGAAAATAATCCCCAAGTTACTGATCCTCTAGGCAATCATGTAGCTAACCAATTCAAATTGCAATGCCAAACCCACATCTAATACTAACAAAGCGGCTTCTGCTTTCCATTTCGTAACAAAAATAAAAATAACCAAATCAACTTAAATGTCTAAGCATCACCCAACAAAAGAATTCAGCAATGAATGCTCGAATGCACCACAAACGTGCATAACACAATTATTGGAGTAAATTTAGCAGAACTACAAAAACCCACATAAATTGGGCAAAAAGATTCGAGCTTTTCTCATTCCTTTTCACTTTCCCGAAAATGTTCTCAGTAACCAAACAAGAGAACTAGATGAAAAACAAAAAAGACAGATGCCAAAGGCTGTACCCCACTCATCTTCTTCATCAAGAGGTTGAGTGGTTCGCACTGGAGAGGGGTCCAGGGGACGCTGATGATCATGGATTTGACCAGCCACAGGGCGCAAAAGCCCAGATCAAGATCAATCCAACAGCTCAAATCCAAACACAGCAAGTGAAGGGCTAGGGGCCTAGGGAGCGAGAGGGCGAGAAAGAGAGAGGAAAAGGAGAAAGAGATCTGTTACCTTGAACGAGCAGGTCAGAGAGAGCATCCCAAAGAGAAAGAGAGCACTGACGGAGGAAGAGAGAACTGCGAGAAAGAGTTGAGAGAGAGATCAAAGAGAGAGCTGAGAGAGAAGAAAAAGTGAGAAAAAATGTAAAGTAGGCAATAAGTATGTATTTATAAGTTATATTTGCGAACTGTGTGGGTAAAATGGTATTTTATGAGTTATAGTGGCATTGAGCGTTATTTCCAAAAAATCAATGCTTTTTTCATTGGGTTAGGCTAGACGTTGGCTGTACCCCGCTTCCTTTATTAATATTGTTGGGTGGAGGGCCTCAAAACGATGCTCAATGCTCAATAGAAAACAGAGAGGAAAAAAAGCATTTCTCTTTTCTGCTTTCTTCTCTGTCAAATTCTCAATTATTTCTGCCTTCCGGCACCAAATCCTCTCTCTTCTGTAAAGAGGTCTCTTACTTTCATTCATTTTATAAAACCCCAAATTAGCGATCAAATACGAACGGATCATATATACCAAGTGACGATATAAGAATAATAATAATAAACGAAAATGGTGTCGGCGACGAAGGAGATGGTGGCTTACTGCTTCGACACTCTCCTTGCTCACTACAACAGCGAAGAACCTCCTGCCCCAGCCTTCGATGAGGGCCAACAGTACTCTCTCTCTCCCCCTCTCTTTGTCTCTATCTCACAACCATACCACAATTACGCATGTATATGTATTGATTTTATCAGTTTAATTAAACTAACTATTTCTAGAAATTGTGATGATGGCATGGTGTTTATAGATTTTAAATTTTTTTTAAAATTTTTTTTTTTGATTGTAAGGTGAACTCTTAGTTTAATTTTTTTTCCTACTATGAAATACAAATATATACATATATATTTTATGATTTTTCATGTGATTGTTGAAGTTTAAGTTAGCTCACCCATGCTTTATTTGGGTAATCTCCTGTATTGGCATTCAAAACAACTTTTATAAGGATGGGTTAATAAGTGGTGTTGGGAGGCCACCTATTGAACCCTCCTTGTTTAAAATCAGTCCTAGTTAAAAAGGGATAGGATGTACATTTAGTTCGATTTTTGATTGAGATCCGTTCTTGATTATGAGAATGAACTTGTGTGGCTGTTCTTTAGATTTTTAAACATAAACGGGGATTGCTACAGGTGCAAGCATCTTCAAGTTGTTGAGCAAAGGTTTTCTTGTAAGAGTGGATGAAATGCATCTTAACTGTAAATATCTAATGTGAGGATGACCTGCAGTCCAAAAATTAGTTTATTAACTTGTCTCTGAACACACAACACAATAGACACATCCATATATATGTACAATCTGTAAGTTCTCTAGATTTAAGCCACTGAAAGAAAGCGATGTTGGTTGCAGATAATGCATTGGTAATTGAAACAGTCCAGTCATGATTGAATAGTTCGTCAGTGACTGAAATATGAAGTAAGAAAGGTAATAAATTAGAAAACAAGAGGTCCTATGCACTACAATTTTACTTGAACTAAAAAGTTGAGAAATTAATAAAATATGAAAGAAAAGGCATCTAGTTGCAAGAATATGAAGCTGTCTATGCTCCCAATATAGGCTATTATGACAGAGAATTAAAAGGCCAGCACACAATGGCTTAAAACATCACCAAACGTCAAAAAAATCCGCACATCTGGATTTGAGAAAAACTGTATATATATTGATGTATGTCTTAAAAAGCAGAACCTTGATACTATTGACTTTCTCATCTGATATTAACAATGCCTTGGTCTCAGTCCATTGTTTGTTACTTGGAAGAAAGTGGTGAATGGTAGTGAGACTCGTTTGCGTGGATGCATTGGAACACTAGAAGCTCGTAGCTTGATGAATGGATTCAAGGACTATGCTCTAAACAGGTATTACAACAGATCTTGTACTTTACATCTTGACCATTTCTGTATCATATGCGGTCACATGTACGCGCGGTAATGTGTCTGCATGTTTTCTATATCTTCCTTTGTTATTTCAGATAAGTCTTTGACAGTGTGTACTATGTGATATTTATATTTGTGTGCATTGTTCGTGGATGCTTGTGCATTTTTATTTTTATGTTTTCAAGGCAGGTAACTTAAATTATGTAAATCATGAATGATGTATCTGAATTCATACTTTATTTTTGCAAAAGCAGATTGTTCAATATGAACTATGAGGGTACCATGTTTGTGTTTGTCTGTGCGTGCACATCTATGCGCCTATGGATTGAAGAGAAGTGCAATGGATAGATGGGCCAGAAATTTAGTTGGGATGGACCATATGTAGTGCCATTTAGCAAATTAGCGAAGAGCACATCAAAAGGATGGTCAAGTTTGTTACCTTGATGCCATCAGATTTAGTTATTAATTATTTCCTTCCCTTCTTATAGAACTAATCATTAAGCTAATCATTAAGGATTAGCATTTATACCTTGCTACGCTTAGTTGTTAAAGAAGAGGAAGTTCATGCATGCAATCTTGGTCGCGTGATATCACATTGTCGAAACCTGCACTACTATATCTTTTTTGTATGATCCACATTCTTGATCTTCTTGGTATGGTCATACCACATTCTTGATGTTCCACAAGTGTTCTTCACACCTCCGCTTGATAAACCTCTCAAGGGTGTGATGATGGGCATCACGTCTTGGTTTTTATCCACAAAAGAAAAAAGAAATGAAACTAGAGATTGGGGGCAAAGTATATTTGGTGCAGCTAAGAAATGGATGCACCTTTCTTTTGGAAGTGATAGTGTGCATGCAGCAAGTCCTTGGAATTTTCGCTATGCTTGCTGCATTTTTTTTTTTCTAGAGGGAGAGTTTCAGTTATAAGACCACTCCTTTTCAAAGGAGCCTTAATGTTTGCTTACACAGACTAGGAGACTAGAAGGATAACTCTTATCCTAGTCTAATTAGACATATCCATTTTCCCCATTAGGATTACATAAGGGCATATTTGTTTAATCTAGATCAGATATATAAACGAGCAAAGTCACAAGCAATGCCACACCATGCCTAGCTGATATTGGCATTTTGAGGGCCCTAATCCTTGCAACTTATGGTATTGTGTCCCAACTCCTGGTTGGAGGTCCAAAATCTTTCCCTCGCATACTTCCAAACTAAAATTAATGCTCCCTTACCTGGTTTAAACTGCTCTCTTTTTTTTTCTTTTTTTTTATGTTATTTGTTATTTTCCTCAACTAATGTAGTGTCTTCTTTTTTTTTTTTTTTTTTTGGTGTATTATATAGTCATTTAGTCCTTGTTGTTAATGTTCTGCAGTGCTTTGAAGGACCGTAGGTTCCCCCCAATACAACTGAAAGAATTACCTTATTTAGAATGTACAGTTTCCATTCTGACTGATTACGAAACTGCTAGCCACTACCTTGATTGGGAGGTATGTTCAAGTTCTTTATTGGGATATTTGTTAGTTCTATGTATCTAGTTCATTATGCCTTGCAGTGATCCACTGCATGCTTCGATTTCTTGTCCCTGATACTGAATAGGCGATTTCAATAATCTCTGTGTAACTATATGTTCCTTTTAGTTTCTAACATATTGCAGAGATTAGTTTATAGTAAAATGCCAAATTTCACTTTTGGTCCCCATAATTTGAGTTAAGCTGCAATAAGGTCCATGTACTTTCAGTGTTTTCTATGTTGGAACTGTAATTCAAGATGCATCCACAATTTCATATTTTGCCTTGGCAGAAGTGGCATGTGCTGGTCACGTGTGGGAGCATTATATCAGCTGTTTTGCTTAATACAATATTAAAAAATTAAAAATCATTTAATCACTATTCCCCTTATTTCAAACCTTTAGAATGCTGGCCTTCTCTTCTAGTGTCGGATCCAGGATTGTAACCTCATAGGGTAATAGAGTAAAAGTGTCAAAATTTCTTCAAGAAGAAAATAATACTAAAAACCAGAAATATAATACTTCCATTCATAATTCATGGCAAAACTATCAATACAAATTACAATTGTCAATATCTCATCTAACTCCATTGGTCTTGCTCTTGCACTTGAACTACTCAGATTAGACGAATTATCCGTAGGTAATTTTCTCTTAAAAGTATCGTTCCATAATTCTACTTATTAATTAATTCAATCAATCAATTATAAACTGATTAATTTGAATAACAATTTTAATTCGTATAAACTCTAATCCAATTATCCAAATAATAAAATCAATAAATAAATTCTACTCCATAAAAAACAGTACAAATAAGTCAATATAAACTCTAATCCAAATAACAAAATCAATCAATTCCCCTCCCCTCTAGTTTAGACTGTCGCTTGTACTTCAAATAAAAAAATCAAACAATATCAATATCATACCAATAAATTCTAATTCATTACAGATATATCAATTTCATTAAAATTATAATTCCTAAGCCCAGTATACTATATTTAAAGGATTATCCTCCTACTCACTTCATTTAGGCTAGAGTTTAGAAGATAAATTTAGGATATATCAATTAGGGGAAGGGGATTAGGCCTGGCCCAAAACGGCGTCGTTTTGGCCAGGTCATTTAAAAATATAACCTTGGCCAAAAGGACCTCTTTTTGCCAGGTTGTTTAAAAAAATAAGAACTCGCAGCAGCTTCTTCTCCATGAGTTGCTCCGATGGCTGCCAAGGGCAAAACCAGGGAGCTCCAACCAATACCCAGGGCTGCCATGGGGTCGTCTAACCCCATTGACCCCATGGTGGCTCCACCACTGTTCTCTTCACCCTCTCCATCCCTAGAAGCACTAGCACAAACACCCAACACCACCTACTTTGCCACAAATGCCACCACCTATACCATCCCTCCTACCCAAACCACGTGACCTGTGCAGTCTCATCTTTCAGAGGGGTGGTTCATCCCCAAATACCACGTCACAACCAACCACTCAACGTCACTTCTGAAAGCCAAACAAAAGGGTCCAAAAGACTAAATGGGTCGTGTTTACTGTGTTTGTGTCAACTCGCTTTTCTTAGTAGTTTGACACGACATGACCCGTTAAGTTAACGAGTGGAAAATACCAAACATGAACATGACCTGTTAAAATAACGAATGACTCGATTCACCCAATAAGAATTTAAAAAACTGAAGAAAAAAATTAATTACAAATAAAATTAAATCTGAAAAAAAAAAAATCAACCAAAGAAGAGTTGGGGTAGGGGAGAAGGGAAGAAAAAAGGAAAAAGGAAAGATATATATAATTACAAAATTATCATATTCTTAACGGGGGTATTCGCGAATTCACACGACACGACCTGTTAGCTTAACATGTCCACCCGTTTTCAACATGACCCGTTAAGTCCCAACTCAAATCTCGAATACTGATTTTTTCATGCAAATTCGTTTCGTGTACAATGTCTACAAAAGACCTTACGCCAAATATAGCTCTAAATTGTATGTTGTATTACTTTCTATCCCAATTTTCTGTTTTATTTTTAAAAAATAATGTTGAATTTTTTAGCATTTTCAAAAGTAATAAGACTGAAATACTGCTACATGGTATGTTTCTTCTCAAAAAAAAAAATTATGTTACATGTGACAAGCAATTCCGTCAAGTAAATACACATAATTATGGGTGTCTCCTTGAAATTGCAATGGTTAGCAATCTACAATGGCAAATTGGAACTATAAGGACCTTAGTGGAACTTGGACCAAACTACAAGGACCAAAAGTGATATTTTCTGTACTTTTAGATGGATCAGCCACATATGGATGGACGGTTATGCTCTCATCTGGATGTCCGCATGTTATTATCGTGCGGATACCATTGTAAACAGAGAAGAAAGTAGGGAGGCGTAGTAGAAAATACATGGCGTCTGCACGATAATAACGTCCGAACGTCTATATAGGAGAATTTCTATATGGATGGATATTTAATTATATAGATTAATTTTTCCTATATATATGACAGGTAGATTAACGATCAGATGCTAAAAATTGTAGCATGTATGAGAAGCACTTGTGATTTACTCTTTGAAAGAATTTCCGAAGTTTGGCTTGCCCTCTGAATTAATAATTATTGCAGATTGGAAAACATGGTATAATTATTGAGTTCACTGATCCCGAATATAGTACAAGGCGCAGCGCCACATACTTGCCTGAGATTGCTGCACATGAAGGTAATTTTTCCCATTTATTATTAGCCAAACACAGGGTTTTTTAAAATGCATGCGCAAAAAGTAAGCATAATAGCCTTTTTTTTCATATAATTATTTTGAGAGAAAAGTAATAGCTTTGAAAATCTGGCAGTGTACCTTTGACGTTGACCGTGAGTTTAAGATATTAAGGATTTAGAGCTTCGGATTTGGGTTTTAGGAAGCCTAGATGCTACATTGAAAACCTAAAACCCGAAACAGATTCCAAACAATAGAAAAATAACAAATGAAGTTAGCTGTGAATACAACTCAATCACAATTGTTTGATGGTCATTGAATCACAATTGGGTTTGTGAAAAAATACAATACAAATAATTGTTGGACCGTTACTGTTCAAAGGTATGAAAGGCCTTATGGCCCAAAATGATTCCGTCTCCTAATTGTAAACTTAAACAATTTTTCTACGTATGCTATACCAAAAAATGAATACAGGTTCATTGTAGCACTGGAACTGAAAGGACCCTCTCTTTTATAGAAAAAAATTTCATCTGGAGGGCTTGAGTGGTAAATCATTTATTGGTCATGCAGTCACCTATTTCCTAATTTTTAATTTTTAATTTGCAGTTTCATGGTTTCTGTTGTTGCTCATCCACTAATTATTTAAAATTACTAAGTCTAAAGAGTTTAAGAAGTTATAATGTACATATTTTTGCCAGGTATTATAACAGAGTCAGGTGAGCTGAAATTTGAAAATATGTTTTGTGAACAACTCTCTTCTTTGAATACTTTCATTTTGAAGATAAGGTCCCATTTACAGTTAGGTTTCTTATGCACTTGAGGCAAGCTATGCGATTTGGGTTTTAGTAGACCATTAATCCAAATTTTCTATGCAATTTTATGTTTGGCTAAAGTTTTGTTTTTTATTCTGGTCTGCTTCGGTTTCAGCTTGGACAAAAATAGAAGCAATTGACTCATTGATGCGGAAAGCTGGTTATAATGGCACCATCACTGAATCGCTTCGGAAGCGTATAAAATTGACCCGCTACCAGAGCACCTTATGTACAATGCACCACAGTGACTATATTTCCTATGTTAAGGCAACCAGAGGCGCAGCCCCGTCTATTATTGGCGCTAAACCAGGCAGTCACTGACTTCAAAGATGCATTTTCTAAGTCGAAAAAGGTGCTTCCATCTGAACAAAAGAAACCTTGGTGGGAATGCATTTGTTTGTTGTTTCAGTCCAGACTGCAATAATGGTGACCTTAAATATAATTCTTCAAATTCATTTGATTTTGAAGAAAGAAACCAAAGAACACTTTTGAACTTGGGTTTCTCAGATTGCACTTCACATCATTCACGTTTTAATTCTTGTAAAATATTGTGACTCAATTTTTCTGTAATGCTTATCAACTGCATTTATGTCGCCTTCTATCTGGTTACAAATGATAATTAATGCTCTTGTAAGTTAATTAGTAATCATTTGAATATTTTCAGAGCAGAAGGCAGAATCCTAGAGTTAGCTTAGATGGGGTATATTTTCCACTGTTATCATAAATTAGAATATCGGTAGTGCAATGCAGGTTGTGAGGTCGGAAGGTGACCTCTGCCTGTTTGCAGGTTGTGAGGTCGGTGGCCGCCCATGGTGACTAGCACCACTTTGTTAACCTTTGCTTGTTTCATATTGGAATGCAAGAATTTTTTTGGAATTGTGCAATGCTAACTATTTTTGTTGCCTCCCTACTTGTACTCATTGTACCGATATTATCCTCAACCTCACCAAGTCTCAGGAAAATAATATCAGGAAAATAATTAAAATCCTAATTAAAATCATATCAGGAAAATAATATCCTAATTGATAACTTATTCTAAAAATATAAATATAATATAGATCTTCTCAAGAAATCAAGCAATCCGAAAATCCCAACGATACTTCCTTCTTTTCCGAGCCCCATAATTGATGCTCAAGCATATTTTTCATATTTGAAGCCCAATTTTCTAATTTTGAATTTTTCCCCTTTTTCCAAATTTCCTTCGTAAGAACAAACCTATGATTTGTCCTACACCCACCCTCTCCCTCTTTTTGACTTTGATGGATAATACTATCTTACTGCCACAAGCACGAGCTTCCCAGCATCCACCGAGACCTTATGCGCATTTGAGATGAGGTCACGTATCTGTTTTGATTTCAATGAAATTGAATTGGGTTTTCAAGGATTGGAGGGCTTCTTTAGAACCGTCTCAAGAAATAGGCTGGGATTGAGTTGGGTTGTGTCACGCCTCAATCCACAGATTTACGTAACCTTGGGTTAAGAAGTAAGTAATTGTTGAGGCCCAAAAAATCCATGGTTGGACCCGAATAAATTCCTAGCCCGAAGCGATATATTATTGGAAAAAGACCCGGTTTAAGGTATACAGAAGTCTGCCATGCGCAAGCCATATCATGCCAAATAAGATCTACGGTGCTAGAAATCAGGATTAAAATTATAAGATGCATTTAGCTCTGCAAATCCATGCCAGTTATCCTATCAAGCGTCGTATTTAAAAGCACGCCCAGCGACATGCCATGCCAAGCGAGAAAGTATTATCCCACAACAAGCTTAAGTGGACCCAAGCCACTCGAAAGCCCGGGGCTTGCTTGAGTGGGTTGTGGTATGGATGGTAATAAATCAACATGAGGCCCATTGATGGGCCGAGAAATGGAAGTCTCGAGTCGCTTGGGAGCCTCGGGACTCAAGCCCATTCCTTAGGCCCAAACATGTGGGTCAGCACAAGAGGAAGAAATAGTCCAGTCAAAATAGCCTATGGACCTTACCAAAAGCCCAAACGTTTAATAAAAATAGCCCAATCAAAGAATAGCCTATTGACTCAACCCAAAAGCCCACTTACTTAATAAACCATCTTGGCCCATACAATTACCCCAGCTGGCTGGGAGAACAAAGGCCACGAAGGGGGAGGTCTGGAGACTTATTTAACAAAGCTGCTGGAGGTTCCAGCACATGGGGGGAGCAAGTTCCAAGCAAGAAACATTCAAGGAACCAAGGGGTATTAGCCTGCGAGCTGCCAGAAGCACACTTTGAACCAGCATGTATATCCACTTCCTTTCCCTCATCAGATCTAGCCATGGAAGAAGGAATGAAAGAAGAAGAAAAATAGCTGAAAGTGGGAGTCTCCCTCTGAAGCTGCTGCGGGAAAGGGAGGCCTTGAGCTCCCAAAATTCCTAATTTCGTGCAAATAGATAGAGGCAATGTCACTGAGATAGGAAAGTCAAGGGAGGAGAGGAGAAAGGAAGGAAAAGCTTTCCCAAATTGGAAAGAAACCATTAGGGTTTCTTGGGAAAGGATAGTTTCCCGCAGCTATAAAATGGGGCCTCTCCTACCCAACAAACACAACCCACACTCAGAGAGCAAGCTTTCTCTCTTACCTGCAAAAACCTAGCAACCACGTGCACTATTCACCCTTCTTCTCCATCTTCCTTTCCTGGCAGACAGAGTATCTGTCAAGCTGCCGGAAGAACATTGTCCTCTAATTCTCTCTCCTTAGCCAAATCTCCTACAAACCTCTCCTTACTCACCTTAACACTTTCCTTTTCCCCCTAAAAAGCCTAAATTTCCCCTCAGTGCTAAACTCATGTTGATTTTGCTTCCATGCCACATGCCTCTCATGCCAAGCCCAAAAGTTTATCTGTAAGTATGGAGAAATTATCTGTAAGTTGTTGTTTTGGTCGGTGAAGGTAACCAAAATACTTCCTAAGGCCTTGCTGCCCTTTCGAAGCATTTTGGGGCTTAATTTTCGAACTCAGACAAAGGGGACAATTTTATCAGCCCAGCCCACCTGCTGCCGGAAGAAAAAGGCCCCTACATAAATTGGCGACTTCACTGGGGATTAAGCCAATATCTGAACCAATGCCTCCAAAGAAGAAGACTAGGAGCAACAACATGACTTCTCAAGATGGCCCAGACCATGGTGATTCGGAGTCAAGGCAAAATGCCTCCTCTAGAGAAGAAGGGCGTGCAAGTGAGGGAGCTTTCACCCTCTCAGACCTCATCGCTGCCATCCATGCCATGGGAGAAACTCAGAAGGGGATGGCAGACACGATCAAGGAGCTGAAAAGTTCGGTCTCTAAGCCAAGCGAAGAAAATGAGAAACACCCACAGGAGGAGTCTGCTGCTGCGGGAAAAGGGTCTGAACAAAAGGGACCATCTTTTGTCACCCAAGAAGATGTCATTGCTATGCTGGAAAAAGAGCTGAGTAGAAGCTAAGAGGATTGAAAGTATATTCCTCAACCGCCGTATCCATCAAGCTTGCTCCAGCAGCCATATCCTAAGGGCTATGAAACACCAAGCTTTGTCCTCTTCGATGGAAGGAAAGGGAGCCCGAAGGAGCATGTCAACCGCTTCCTTGATGCCTTGGGACCACATGCTGGCAACCATAATCTCCGGCTCCGCGAGTTCTCAAAGAGCCTTACCGACCGTGCTTATACATGGTATACGACACTAGCACCAGGCTCTGTTCGTTCGTGGGAGGGCTTGGTCAGTAGGTTCTGCAAAAAGTACTTCCAGCATGAGGAGAGAGTTACAACCACTGAACTCAACAACACTCGCCAAAAACATGGGGAGGATCCCGTGGACTTTGTACGCAGGTTCCGGGACCTAGCTTTGGACTGCTATGATGAGAAGGACGAGGAGGCGCTGGTCGAAATTTGCATCAGCAATATCATGGCAGATTATAGAGTCTATTTGGAAAACATTGGCATCAGTCAATTTTCTCGGCTGCTGGAAGCAGTAAGGAGGACAAGTATGTTTGTCAAACCAGCTGGACAGAGGAGCTGGAGGAGTGAGAAGAAGGAGGCGCATCAGACATTGGCAGTGGACGATAAATCATCGGGTGACTACAACTCACGCAAGCGAAAGGATAGGGAGACATACCCACCATTACCTTGCAAAGACGAAGAGTTCCATGCTATTCTCGACACAATGATTGCTAATGGAGCAATCAAGCCTCTCAGACCTTACAAAATCCCCACCCGAGAGGAGAAAAATGATCATAGGTACTGTCGTTATCACCAATTTGTGGGGCATCCAACCACAGCTTGTCAAAGCTTAAGGAGGATTTTACATGCTAAAATACATGAAGGAGTTCTTGAGCTTCCCTATAGGAAGCAAATCATCGATGAAGACCCCTTGCCAAAACGAAGGGGGAAAGAGATAGCTGCTGTCATCACATGCTCTGATGATCTGCTCAACGACGATGAATTGTGCCACCCTTGGAGGAATGACCCGAAGCCACCGGAGGCTATGTGGGAACCCTGCGGAAATATGGAGAAGGCTTACTGGTGCAAATATTCAAAACCTTCAAGTTACAATACCCCATGGCCACTTGCTGATGGATGGGATGATAGCACAGCCAATGAGGTATTCCCGATGGACGTGCCGGAAGAATGCTACTTGGGGGCTTCGTCTGTGCCGCAGGAAACAGCTGCTGTAACGTTTCACAATCTTACGGAGGCCGAAGCAAGTGTGATGGAACGTTATCTAGGTCTGAAGCAGGGACCTACGGCCTCACAAGTCCTCCAAAGGAATCCAAAATTCAAGTCACTCTTTGACCAACTTGGCTTTGGGCCTCAAGCAAGAGAAGCGGCTGCTGTAGCTCTCATAAACATCTCTGCGGAGTCGAATCCTCATTGCTTCACTGCTCAACCACAAAGGTCATTCTTAGGAAATGACAATGCTATCGTTTTCACAGATGAAGACATGGAAGTTCCATATCCGAATCATAGAAGACAACTTTATTTGGAGGGACAAATCAACGATGTGTTTATAAGAAGGGCTTTGGTGGACACTGTTTGTGCCTAATAAATCACGGCCATGAACTGGCCGAAGGAGCCCTTTTTCTCGACCCTAGCACTTTCTCGTGAAGCTAAAACGCAGCGTTTCGCCAGGGTGCTTTGCCTTCCTGAAGATAAAAGAAAAATGCTAAGGCATGATCATCTCGGCCTCGAGCGCAGGCCAAGGCCAAGGCCGAGCAAAATCACGGGCAAAGGCATTAAAGGCAAATCATCACATGACAACAGGGTCCCAGGCTTCATTTAATGAAGTAGTGCCTCTGTTTATTGCATCAAACCCACTGACCACGAATAAGCATTTAATGCACGAGGGAAGGTGGGAAGTGATTGAAGTCAGGATTTGGTGATGAGGATCAGAGTGATTAGACGTAGACATTCTCACAAGAATTCTAACAGCTTGAGATATTAGGTCACCAGCTATCAAGGCCATAAATGCGTCTCCACGGCAGGAAGCGTAGAGTCCATGATCGGGGCAGCGGCCGAGATTCACCAGGATTTATGGGGTCACACCACCATACTTTACGATCCCAAATGTCGATTGGACTACCCACTTGCTCTAATCAGGCTCCACCATGCAGATTTTCAGCCTCGATTACTCCTCCAGGAACTCTTCCTATAAATACAAGGCTCAAGCTACATTCAAAGGGTTCAAA